AGAATTACATTTGAGAGACCCGAGTCCCACGATTGCCAAACACCATTTTCATCTTTCAACTGAGAAAAATTATTCTTTTTGCGTCGAACAGAAGCCATAGAGTGGAAGTAGCAATTATTCAAATCTCCTTATTGAAGCCACAACTGCTTAGCTCGTTGTCTCTAAAAAGTTTCCTACTGAACCAAAATATCTGAGTAGGCGATTTGAGCCATAGTGTATAAGCCTACTGAAACAGAATCTGTTTTAAAACGATAATGGGCCATCTACTCTTTGTAAGCTTTTACTTATCGTTTAAATTCAAGTCTTTTCTTGCTATCCCATTCTTGCAAATAGACTCCACAAAGTGTAATTTGATCACTAATAGACCTATTTGCACCTAATTCCCATGTCGTTTGAACTGCTTCCTCACAATCAGGTTCATAAGCCTAAGCATTCTCGAATATAAAAGGCTTGCGAATGTAGAACAAAGGTAGCGTCTAATGTTAAGAAAATAGGATTATGATCACTATTTGCAACCTCTAAATGATACAGCTGAGCATTCGGGAAGAGATTCTACCACTGAGAATTAATTAAGGCCCAATCGAGTCTCTCACAAACCCAATCTGTAGAACCGCGCCCTCTTTCCTATGTAAAATGAACCCAAGGTCATACAAGTCACAGTTTTTAAGAGCTTGTTGAAAACCCTCTATCAGCCATCTAGGTTGCACACATCTCCCCATTTTTTCAGATTGAGCCAGGATGTCATCCAAATCATCGATCGTAGACCAAGGAAGAGAGGACTTATCTTTGAGCGATTTTGACAAAGCCTAAGACTCTCGTCGTCTTTGACATTCACAAAAACCACAAAAACTTGTCACACGAAAACCAGGGATACCTTCAATAGAAACTGCTACATCAATGTGATTTGAGGAATTAACTAATGAGTGAACACATAGGCCTTTCTTTCCGGAATAAAGCTAATCCACCCGCCCCACTGAATTAACAACAAAGATACCCTCAAAGCCCAAAGCTAGTCGAACCCTATCCATCTTATTCCAGTCACTTTTAGTTTCCATCAAGAAAACCAAATTGGGCTTCTTAGTAGACACATTGTCTTTCAGCTCATGAATTGTCCGTTGGTTCCCAAGCCCCCGGCAATTCCAACTCAATGTACTCAGTGGGCTAGGTGGGCCTGATCTTCAGAACCCGCCGTTTCGTCATTTTTTGGCTTTTTAGAAATCACAATCTCCAACCCAATAGTTTCACCAAGACTATCACATCCCTCCCTGGTCCACCCATTAACACGAATGAACTGAGCCGAGACTCTACAATCTGGTTGAACCTATGTCCTGTCATGCTGATATCATAATATATGCTGAATAATATATCATGCTGTTGCTTTCTACATTAGTAAAATATAGATATGTACTTAATATTTACAAGACATTATACTAGTTTCCAAAATGAAATATGCTACATTAGTAAAATATAGATATGTACTTAATATTTACAAGACATTATACTAGTTTCCAAAATGAAATGGGCCCAACTGTGTGCCCTGTATATGCCATGATAAGGATAGACAGAATCAAAATATCAAAATGAGTAGCTACCCTGAAAATTGGGTCTTCCAAAGATGAACTGCAGCAGTTGTAAGATAACTCTCTACAGTCCAGTCCCAAAACCTACGAGTTAAACAAGTAACTCGTTGAGCAATAAAACTCAGTGGATATCTCAACGTATAAGAAACATGTAAGCACACAGATATGTATACATAAACATGTAAACACACATATATGTATAACGAAACATGTAATCACACATATCATGATACTTCCATTATTGTACTTGCAGTGCATTATGCCGGATGACTTATGCAGTTTTTAGTCAATATAACTATATGACTCCATAAGGTTATAGTGAAACCGAAGTGATAAGAGGAACTGTATGAAACTGGATGAATACTATATGACTGGGCTGCTATGGCCCATATATAATCATATCCACTCAACGGCCTGTAGCTCTCTGTAGCTAAGAGTACCAAACTGTTGGGGCGCAGATCTGCTTATCCTAGATGTCCGCGGACTAGCCTTATCTAAAACGTGGTTTCTACCTAACCTCAAATGGAGCATATATTATCGTGTATGTCATAGTATAACATAATAGCAATATTAACTGCTTCATAAATTCAATAAATCAACTAATTTAACCTGTATGTTGAAGCCTCTCTAAAGTGGGCAACTTGTGTTATTTAGTTTTCACATCATTTTGCATGATTGCAATCTTGTTTTTTTAAAAAACATTTGTTCGTGTTGGTCTTTTGTTTTAAAGTGATTGTAGGAATACAATTTGAGCAAAGGAATACAATTGCATAGAAAAAGAGGTCCAAAAGGCATCAGAACACAAGTCGCGAGAGCGACATTAAAATTCGCGAGTGCGAGAAGCACACAAGAGAGTTAGAGAGTTTACAGGCACAAATCGCTAGCGCGACATGAAATTCGCAAGTGCGAGAAGCACACAAGAGAGTCAGAGAGTTTACAGGCAAAAATCGCGAGTGAGACATGAAATTTGCGAGCGCGAGAAGCACACAAGAGAGTTAGAGAGTTTACAGGCACAATTCGCGAGCACGACCATGAAATTTGCGAGCACGAGTCGTGTTTTCCAGCCTGCGCAGTGTGTACTATTTTGGTCATAACTCTCAATTTATAACTCCGATTTAGGTGATTTAGGTGATTCAAAAACTCATGGACAGCTAACACATAGAGGAACAAATAACTCTTCTATACCACTTCCTAATTCCATCATTAAACAGGGTCAAAATCAAGGTAAAGTTACTAGTAAATTCTCCAGCAAACCTATTTCAGTATGAACTCAATATCTACTTCATTAATTCATTTCATCCCATGCTTTCTCACCATTTTCAGTCCTCTTACTCAACATTAAGCAACATATCTTCTCATTATCAACACACCACACAAGTTCTCGTGGAAGGAAAGTGTTAAATTAAAAGAGATATCAAACCTTCACTATCAAAACTTCACTTCAAGCTTTGAAATCTTCTTCTTAAGCCTTCCTTTTCTTCCTACCTTTGAGCTCACCTCTCCTAATACATAGGAACTCTTATGAATAATCTAAAATATCACTAAATTAGAGGTTGAATAAAATAGAGATTTCAAGAAATTCTACTTACCTGGAAATAGAAATAGAGTTGAATATAATGCTTAACTCATTACAATGGATGGAGAAAGGAAGGGTGGAAGAGTAACGTAGATGAAGGAGATAAAGATAAAGATGAAGAAGGGAAAGTTGAAATGGAAATCGTCGGGTAGGCTCCAAATATCATTGCATTGTGTGTGTAAACTTTACCCAAAATGGTACCGGTCAATTGTCAATAGGTTACAACTATAATACCTAAGGCTTTATATTTTAGTGCAAGTAAGTCCTAATCCTTATACTTGATCTGTTAATACCTAAGCTTTATATTTTAGTGCAAGTAAGTCCTAATCCTTATACTTTGATCTTTTTGTCTCATTCAAGTAAGTCCACTTCTTTTCATTAGTATTGTCACTCTCATTCTACCCCACTATGGACTCTAATGGCTCAAACTGGATTTTGGTTCAGCCCGACTCAACTCGAGTCTATGCAACAACTCGATTCAGTAGGATGTCACAAAGACTATCAATGCGCCGCCGTTTTGAATCACACATAACTAAACTGTCCACGTTAACCACATCTTGCATGTTGTTAGATACCTTCCCATGCATGATAAAATATTCCTTATCAGCACCCCTAATCTCCTCATTGGATATGCCATCATCTTTGAGGAGATTTGACTTTGTTATACTTCCATCAAAACCCGTAAGAGGCGGCATGTCATACTCCATAGGGTTTACGCCAACTTTATTATCGTCGACATCTTTTTTGATATTAGATTCTGAGACCAACCACTTAACTCCGATGTTAGTAACTTTGCGCATTTCAACTCGCATGAAAGTGCCATATGCAAACTGCTCTTTTACCACTCTGGGATATGCAAATAACCTGCTGCAATGGCAGTCCGAATGGCTAAGTAGACCACAAAAGAAACAAAAGGTGGTTAGACGTTCATACTTGAAATTGATCCAACTCCATTTGCCCCCTGGTTTTTTTTATCTACATTCGACGCTTTAAAGGCTTACGGACATCCACCTGAACATGCACTTGCATATATTCTTTCCATAGGCCTATAAAGTTTTTAGGATCTACTTGTACATATATGCCCACATAATTCCCTATATCCTTGGCCACTCGTTTTGACATAAAACTCGATGGTAGGTTATGCACCCTAGCCTAGAAAGCCGCCTGAGTTAATTCTGCTTGCCTTATCAGCACCTTCATCTAGTTGCTTCATAATAATCAGGTTTTGAGCAAAACTCCAAGGCCCCTCATTAACAACCCTTTCCATATCGACAGGATGAGAAAAACTGAGCAATAAACACATTATTGCCCATGTCTTTGAACAGAACACCCTTCACAGGCCTCAAAATTGATGTCATAGTTTGTGTGAATGCGATGTAGTTCATCAGTCTATTTGTCAACAATCGACCAACAGTACACCAGGGAAGGTTTTCCTCTTTTTCCTCCTCAGCGGCAGCACTGTTAGTACCCACAACCCTACCCTGAGCTTCTTCTAATGCAAGAGCTATATATATTTCTTCTAGCGGCCAATCCGTACCACTACTGATGCCATAATTGTCAAAAAGAATCACTAAAAAGTAGAGAATAAAAGAAACTTGTCACCTAGAACAAGAGAAAAATATTCCACACCCTTGACCATCCTTGATCAAAATTCTTAGAATTCGAGTCTTGGACATAAAAATTGCCCTTATATGAACATAACAGAAGTACATGAACTTTTGGATAGCGGTGGTCATAGACAGAAAAAAAAACTTTGATTATTTTTTTTTCGACTATACGACTGCGTTTTGTCAAGCAGCGGATACGTACTCTAGTTTAAGAAGACTCGAGCGTAGTCAATTAGAGCCATTTTAACGTTTATAAAAGCAAACAGGCATGTAACCACTCTGCAAAATCAAAGTCTAGGGCTTAAGGGACTCATCCTAAAGCTATTCTCTTTTTCCTCTTTTTCGCTTTCTCTTCAACGTTCTCTCAAGAACATGACGCCGCCACCTGGACCCTACTCCGGCCTCAGCACCTTGGCCCTGGTAATTTTCTCATCTTCTGTTTGGTTCCCTAGAAATTCCAGGAAAATAGAAAAAATAAATTTAAAATTGTGAAGAGGTATTTTTTAATTCGATATTTTTTATATGATTGTCTTTAGGTGGCTCGTGTGTCAGCTTTCTCTGCGGGTCTTGTGTATGGGAACTTGAAGCTCAAATATCTCCGGGTACATTACCTAATTGTTCGTTTTTAATCTGATTTATTGAATTTTGGGTGTTGGTATCCTTATCTTTGATTGAAATCCAATTTATTTATAATGTAATTGCAATTCGTGATACTACTGTTATATCTTTTGATGGGTATGCAATTTTTGTTTTTTATTTCAAATGCAGATTGTATTCGATTGGGTCTACTAATGTTATCCGAATTTAGGGTTTTGAATTTACCAATCTGCAATCTTGCATTATATTACATTTCAGTGAATGTTGTTTATTATCTTTAAGTGTTCCATATTTATCTAAGAAAGCAGGATTCTGGGAAATAGAAGAGAAAAGGGAAATATTTCTATGAATGTTATATAATGTCTGTAGATATGGTTTTAAATTGTATACTCCTAACAAGTTATTCTGAATGGTTAATATTATAGTTTTTTAAAGGGAGTTTAAGACTTGGGATTGCGGTGAACTTTCTGTATTTGGAGTTAAAATCAGCTAATGGGTAGTGGCAAATAATTTCTGCACTCATAAGGATTGGGAATGTATGAAGGTTATGGAACAGCGTCTTGGCTGAATAGATCTTCTTCATGGTCCTTTTACTTGAGTTGTTTTGGTGCATGTTCATTGTCACTTTATGAGCAGCTGCAACTATTTTTCTGTTGGTTGGGGTGACTTCCTCCTTACTTAACTGGTTTCGTTCCTCGATTTACTGTTAACTTTTTGAGGTTGAAGTGGCAATACTTTATATTTCAAGAATACTTGCTAGCCTTTTTTATTTATTTCATTTCTAGTTGTTTGGCTGTTTCTTTGTAACTGATTCTCAATGATTTGTTAACCAAACAATCCTCGTGTTTGTTTATGTCTGCAATATTGTGCCTTATGATTTGCTCATGATACTCACTTCTATACAGAACATTTATGCATATTTTCCTCTCCCTCTTGTGACACTCATGTTAAAGAACACAAATAAAATGCTTTCCTGATGCATTCTTTTCCGAATACAGGCAAAGGCAAAATCTCAGAAGAAAGCTGAAGCTAAAGCCCAAGCAAAAGCGGCCCATCACTGAAGAGAGATTTGTTATTGAAAGTTGGTAGACTTGAGTTTTGCTGGCATAGGAATAATGCATAGCAGCAGAATTGTACCAGATTCTTGTTTTGATGTAAAGCTTTTCTAAACCATGGTACACTGGTTATAATACTTTCCAAGATTTTTTTTTTTTTTTAAGGTTCTTAACCTGGTTTTATAAGAATTGTTTATTTGGTCTGCCTTGGCCACCATGAAGGATATCTTATATTGCGTACCTGACAATGTGTAGGTGATGGAAGATTAGATCTTCCACTGATTGAAATAATAAATATATGCAACTTTTTGTCTACCATTTCCATTTCATGGTTAACAAATTGTTTGACCATGTGTTAATACTTTCATTCTGTGTAGTTGAAAATCCAACTTTTGGAAGAATAATTCTGTTGTCATGTATTTTTGCTCTTTGTAATTTCTTGATTCCTTCAATTTGATCAAAGCGGATACTGGAAACAAATGATTCATGTAGTTGACCCCAACTATAAGGCTTAGTTGTCGTTGTATTGTTGTATTTTCTTGATTCCTTGATTTGGCCTCACTAAAACTCATTTCACTAGTTCTCTATTTATTTTTTCTTCTCTGTCCATAGTTGCCTTGCTGAACTGTGATATTAAATGAGTTGTGTGCCCAGCTTGTTAGAGGTTGGACCATTCTAGGAATTAGAATTCCATTGTCCATTCATATGACCCTTAAAAGCATATGTTTATGTAGCAGATTTGTTTATTTTCCCTCCTTCAGCAGGAACCCTCGTCTATTCCCCTAATTGATTTTCTGCTATATTCTTTTACTTAAACCTTTTCAAAATTCCAGTGGCTTAGGGGAAATTGCCAAATCGCTGGACTATCATACAAGTACCTTTTAGCCGGTTCCCTTCTTTCCTAGTTTAAAAGACCAGTGGTTAATTTGAATTTTGATATTTGAGCTTTGTCCTGTCATGACGCATGGAAAATGGGATACAAGAATTTAATCTGTGTACCAATTTTCGGATTTGAACATGGGGATTTTATGTCGATGTTTTCTTTTGTTAGATAAGTTATTCTTCTTGCCTTTTTAATCATTACAGACATTTTTAAAATTTGGGGAAAAAAAAGGTTTGTTAGATGATAGTAACCAATTTCTCTTTTCTGTAACCAATCATCATCCAATCTGATTGTTATTTTGCTACTGGTTTGATTCGGTCATATATATGTAGATATATAGAAGAATACACGTGCAAAACGCCAAAAATAGAAAAGATTTGCCAATGGAAGGTACACTTGAGTGGATTTGTTGTTTTACACACTATTCTGGACCCAAAGGTCACCTACCTACAAATTAATGGATAACTTTCACAGAAGATGACATGGTTCAACTATTTAGTTTCGCCAAGAGGCAGAGGCAGAGGCAGACTTTGCTCCTCCCCAGTTAACAATATGCTTATGGTCCTCTCTCCCTGCATTCAGTCAAGTACATATAAATACTTTAGTTTAAAAATAATATAACAAATCAACACAAAAAACTGTGTTCATCATTAGTCCATAACAGGATGATAATACTTGATAAAGGTATTGCAAACATATAATAATTGATAGGCAATGCCAGAATAGAACACCTATACTACTACACTAAGCTTCTAAGTTTGTCGCCCTGTAAAGAAATGCAAATTTTGCAAATACTGCAGTTGTTTTTTGTTGATCAAATTAGTTCAGTATGTCTAGTTGTCTAGTGCTTAATTTGCTGGGTTAATAGGGATTATTTCTAAGTTTGTTGGCCTGCATGCTAATAGGGATTCCAATTGATGTTGTCCAACTTGCTTTTTTGACCTAGAATCAATCCTGAGGGTGGGTCCATTATGAAATTGTAACCTCACAATTTTTTATAAACTACATTAAACGGTCTTAAAAGATATAATTATACCCATAAAAAGCCATAAACAAGCTTTCTAACACGTTGTCAAGCATGATTTTGTCATTAGAAGAAACATTTCTATGACCACAGTCATCCATGTGAAAGTAAATATGATCAAACAACAATTTGACAAATTAATACCATTTAAATTTCATATATCACCAAAAAAAATCACAAATAACAAGAAACACAGCAATAATATTTTATTTAGCAATGACTGTATTACATAATTTTATCAATAGTAAATGCTAGTACAAGTTTCACAAGAAAGAATAAGGGAAAAAGTGATGCCAAATTGAAAAAGCAGAAATAGATTACAATGGAAACACAGTTTTGCATATTATAGAAATTCAAATCAGTGGAATCATGAAGATTTATGAGTTTTACATGTAATATCTTACAGATTTACTATTTAAAACATGGCATTTTACTGGATTCTAAGTTTCTACACGTTCTCTCATGTTTTTAACTCTTTAACTCATAAAATTGTACTAGTGAACTCACAATTATAACAATGATTCCAAACTACAGTTTGCATGTTTGGCTCCTCCTGAGTTGCAATAAATAATTTTTTGATATTAGTCTTAATTAAAACATATGTAATATACAAAGCTACGGTTAACAATGGAGATCTTTGTATTGTTAAGAGAAATGCAGTAGATATGGAACTGAAAACCAATGAACAAGATTCTCAAGAGGAAAAAACCTGAACAGACTGCTCTGGTTTCCTGCCATTGAAACTCTAATTTTTGGGGTCGTTTGGTAAGAAAATGAGGGAAAAGGTTAACAGAAATTTGATAGAAGGGATAAACGAGAAGGTCAAGAGAAGTGGTGAGAGAAAAAGAATTGAAGGGAGAGAATTTTCAATCTTTATAAAATTGGCTACAAAGTAGGTTTTACACCCCAGACTTCATCATTTACATCACCCTTGCATGGATGACATATCAGTACCACCTAAGCAACCTTTGCCAGATCAGCAACTAATGATACAAGAAAATTACAGAAGCAACTAAAAGTACATCTCCATCCTCAATACGAAATCAATCACACAATTAAGTCCCTCAATCAAAGAATTACAGAATTGCAATTATATCCGTATCATAACCAACTAAAAACATATCAATAGAAGAAGATCAAGTCATAAGAAAACTGACCTGATAAAAAGCATGGCCATGCCTAAAGTCAGACAAATCTTAAGCCAAGCAATAGTGGAACTGCCTATTTTACATAAATAATGTCTTCATCAGGATCATCACCCTCCCAATCTTTATTGTCTTCAGGTGAATCAGATGACTCGAACTCATCATCTTCACTTATGCCATTTTCCTTTTCAGCTTTAATTTTATCTAATATTGCAATCACCTGAAAGGGATAACAAAAAACATATCAATATCAACTGAAAGCCAAATCACTGATCCACAAAAGCTTAATTTATGGGACAAAGCCATCAGAACAGGCAAGAATAAATACATAAACAAAAAGACATATGTTGATTATCAACCCTGTTCCCCCCACCCTCTTTTTCCTTTTTCTCTTTTCTCTTCCCTAAAAATAAACCAACCCAAAACAAGGAAAACAAAAGGTCAACCTAATTTATTAAAACGAGTTCTGATGGGATGGGTAAATGCGCAGAGCAGATTCTGAGAAAATAAATAAATAAGAATACCTACTTTAGCATTTGCTAAGTTGAAAATAAAGCCCCAGGTAAAACCATCTAAATGTTAGTACGAGGAAAAGAAAAACATAAAGTGCAAGGACTGAAACCAAAGAATTGGACACGTCATATCATATGCAAAATTTTTGAACATAGACCAAGATCATTCTATCTCACCAGTTTGTCTTTAGTAGATCCTTAAATTTGATATAGGCAGTCATCAAATTAAGATTTTCAACCAAATAGGCATATGCTAAATGGCATGCACCCATTAAAAACCACTTTTGTGGAAGTTCATACTAGGGGAATTAAGTCCTTGTTTGATATAAATGAATTTCATAAAATTAAATTAATTTGAAATATGTTGTGTTTTCATGTTTGATATAAAATAAATGTTCATTCACTCTCATGAATTCAAATTTATCAAATTCAACATAACTAACATTAGTACCAAACAAGGGTAAATTACTATTCGCCAAGATCATGTTCAAGGTCCTGAATGTTGTAAACAACTACAAAACCTTAAAGATGGTGTCTTCCTCATAAAGAGATATCTTAAACCAATAGCTAGCAAATCCAGCAAAATTCATCAGCAGCAGCATCATCCTTAAAGAAATCAGGCAAGTAAAACCACAGAGAATTTGGAATAAAAGCCAGTCGCACTTGATTATTCCGAAGATATATCAATTAGCTAAACTTCTAAGTAACAATGTTATATAGTTAGAAAGGACACGCTCTACAATCCACATATCTAATTTATCAGGAGACATTTGTCCAAACAGTTATGAAAACAAGACTGGAGCCCCATGATGACTTCCTTAAAAAATGCTAAGCAAGTCAGAATCTTTTCAAAGCAAGAATGCACATAAACGACATATATAAAATATTCATAAAAACATAGTAGAAGTAAAGCGTTTACCCTGCTTCCTCTCTCCAAAGATTCATCTTCTATAAACCGTATCTCAGGAGTAAGCCTCAACTTCATACGTCTCCCTAGTTGACTCCTAACATACTTAGCTTTAGACTTTAACCCAGCAATCGCAACCTCCTTTCCTCTATCATCGCCAAAAACAGATACATACACTTTAACCACCTGCAAAACATGTCTTTCTCAATAAAATACCACTCCCCTTAATTCCCAAAAAATAAATAATTACCCATTTGATATTTATCAACAATATTAACTATTTCACCAACTGGGTACCTGTAAATCAGAAGAAACTTCAACGTCGCTGATTGTAGTAAGAGAAGACAGATATTTATCAGCACCCAAAGCAGCCTCCGGCAAAATAGCATACTGTAGTACCTTATCCGTTAGAAGCATATCGGAGAGCTCTCTCTGAATCTGCTTCGCCACCATTTTCACTCTTCTTGGTCTCGCCATGCATGTTATGGAGTTAATTAACGGCTTTGATTGGAAGTGAACTGTAGCCATTGATGTCGGAGTCCAAATTGGAACTAGATTAGAGTGAACGGTGGTAATTGGAGATGAATTCCGCTGGGAAGAGAAGAGAGGCTGGTGTGGGTAGAGAAGTTGAAGTTGAACTTGGAGCATTGCCGTAGAGTATGGCATAGCTCTTCACCGCTGCTGCAATTGCTTCTTGTTATTTTTGGGAATTTTAGATTTTGGTGATCCTTTCAGAATATCCAAAACTATTATATCTGAGGGCATTTTGGGAAGTTTAAAATCTACAGAGCTCAAAATGAGAAAAGCATTTTGGGCTGGATCAAGGTGGGTTGTCTTTTAAGAAGTTGGAACTTGGACTTGGAGAAGTTCATGAAAATCTTGTGTAGGAATGCTGATTATTGCGTTTTAAATTGTTTTTGTTTGCAATTACTATTGAACATGAAAATTTCGCTTTACAAAATTATATATTTTATTGTTTGACCTCCCTAATTTTGAAAAATTTTCTTTAACTATACGTTTTAATTTGATTCCTCGTAAAATTGTGAAATATTACAAAGAAATTCTTATCTTGTCTCAAGATTATTATGATGGAAATTCTCAAAACCTATAAAGAAGGAGATTCACAATTAGAAGTATAAAAGCATCTCCGCGGACGTGGATTCTGGCAGATGTGTCATATGAAATGGTAATGTAACTGAATATTTATTTATAGACATTGAATTTTAAAATTTTTTCTCCAATGCTCTATTTTTAAATCCTCTTCCATTATTTTTGCTGGTGAATCTTCCATTATTTCTTTTATTTTTAAGCTCACAATTTAGTCTGCAACCAATCACTGTAGCGCAATAAATGCCTAAATTGTCTAAGAGACTATGTAGAAGAAGATGTAATAATGAATGTCTATTTATTTTTTTGACACATCAGCTTGACATACCAAATAGATATTGATATCAGAGAATATTTTTTAAAAACATTTTCATTTTTCTAATATGACAATTAGATAAGGCAATCGACATTAGCATTGGAATGCTCTAACCGAGTCAAACATTACTTATTTAGAATATTTAAATTTGACTCTTGATCTTAGTTAAGTCGAATTTAAGTTCAAGTGAATGGAGAGACTCATAAATTTAATCAAATATTTAAATTTTGTATAATTTTTAAAATGATATTGTATAAATATCTAGAAGATAATTCATCAATTTGAACTCATTTATCTTCATACTAATAATAAAAACTTAAATGGAAAAGAGAATTTTATTCAATAAAAAATGTGGTGAAAAACAAAGAATAGGTGCTTTATCTTTATCACCATCCATATTCAAATTCGCGTTGATTTGAAAATGCCCAAGAAACTAGGAACCAATCTTCAATCATGCACATGCTCGTTGACGACACTGTAACAATGTCCCACCTACTTTTTGTTAACAAAAGGGACCAAAAAATTTTAAGTTAACTTAGTGGTTCGTTGAAAAGAGAAGCTTTTTATTATATTTTAGTAGATTCACGAGCAGAACAGTTTAACAGCCTCAAATAACATTAGAGACTACACATATAAAAATCTTGTATTTTTCTCATTTTTTTCTTTTTTCCTTTTCCTCGTAAAAATTATTGTGAAAAAAAATATTCGAATTCGATATCTCTAATTTTTTGTATAAGTGAAAAAATCAATCAAATTTAAATTCTAGATCTCTCATTTTTTATACAACTGAAAAGATAAAACAGATCACTTAATTTAACTAATTTTATATAAGAAGATAGTAAATTTAAAAATGTCAGAAATGACGGTTATGGTTTGAAGACTATATACAGTAATATAGAGCAGCATCATCCAACTTCCAACACAGACAAGCCATGTGAATGAAACAGTACATGATGGTAGAAAGTCATGAAAAGGTAAGTGGTGGGACGGCTTTTTTGCACTCTTATTGTAATTATTTACCAACTAACAACCCTATATTAAAAAGATCCCATTGGAGATTATGTTTATTTTTCTTTCTTCCTTCCTTTAATATGAAAAATAAACATTGCTCTTTTGACCATCTTGGGTTTTCGTGATCAGTAAATAATTTCAACACTATTAAAAATTAAAAATTTTTCGATTTACTCACATACTTACAAGTTTGAACATATGACGGTATTTAAATTAAATTTTGGTATTAGAGTGACAATTTTAATTATATTTATAAAATTTGATGTGCTAAAATTAGTTTCATATTTCTGGCTTTTAATATTATTTGTAATAAGTTTAATGCGTAGATTTGCCTGTGAAATTTTTTTTTTCTTAATGCACCTTGAATTTTACAGGGACTACTATTTTCTGCAATAATTAGACGAAAAGCATGCAAAGGAAAGTGAATATCCATGATTGTGTCCATGTAACAACCCTAATAATCTGTTTTTCATTGATAATAAAAATCCCATTTTCTTTTTTTTTTTTTTTTAAAAAAAAACACTTTTTCCTTTCACTTTTACTCGTTTAGAGCTAAAATTGATCCCTCGTTCTCTATATCTAAATTGAAAAGTTTCATTTCTCATCTTCAAAATCGCAGCTTCCTAGTATTTCGCATTCATAAATCAAAGCTGAAATAAGAAAGAAGTCAGCAATAGTATAATATTCTTCCTCCTCATATTCATCTTCAAAATTGCAAATTTATAACAAAATCAGTGATTTAATACTAACCCCATATCTGGAACAAATGAATTCCACAAAATTTTGTGGAATTCATTTCTTTTTTTTTTTTTTTTTTAAAAAAACAACTTTTTTCCTTTCACTTTTACTCGTTTAGAGCTCTAAAATTGATCCCTCGTTCTCTATATCTAAATTTGAAAAGTTTCATTTCTCATCTCAAAAATCCGCAGCTTCCTAAAGTATTTCGCATTCATAAAATCAAAGCTGAAATAAAAAGAAGTCAGCAATAGTATAATTATTCTTCCTCCTATTATTCATCTTCCAAAATTGCAAATTTATAAACAAAATCAGTTGATTTAATACTAAAAACGCCCATATCTGGAACAAATGAATTCCAAACAAAATTTTGTTGAATTTCATTTAGAAATTTGTATATTGTTGTGTTAATTCCACAAAATTTTGTGGAATTCATTTAGAAATTTATATTGTTGTGTTTGGAATGAAAAAAAAAATTGTAGATCTCGATTCTAAAAATTTAATTCTATGAAAATGAACATAGATACACCCAATTCACAAAAATGTGTGAAAATTCCAATTGAATTCCACAAAACCAAGTTATCCAACTTTTATGACAAAATTATCGTTCTCCTTCTTCAAAGTCATTTTTTACTTATTTAACTTATATATTTTATCAAATTTGACCAAAAATCATTTAAAAATTTTATTTTTAGAGAAATATTTTCTTATTATTGTGTTTTTTATTTTAATATTTTTCATCTCTTATTTTCATTTTTTTTTTTTTGTATTTTTTTATTATTGTGGGGAGAAATTCAAGTTAAATATATATTTATCACTAAATTAAATGTGATGATTTTATTAATATTATTTTTATTTTATATATTTATTTTAATAAAAATATAAACAAACTTATATATCATAACGTGAATATAATTAGTATTTATTACTTATTTTTGTGAAATTACTATTTCAAGAATATTTAAAAAAAAAAAAAAAAGCAAATGAATCTTCAATTGTGAATTTATTTCATACATGATTATCAAACATGAAAATCCTTTACAAATGAATCCATATTTTAAATTCACGTATACCAAATGGAGCATAAAACTCAACTTATTCAATATTTGAACTAAGATTGTCTAGTTTTTTTTGTCAAATCATAGATATACAAGAATGGAATATCAAGAAAAATAAAATCAAATAGGTATCACCTGGAATTATGATTCAAGGGAAAAATAAGAAACAAGATTAAAATAGAAAAATCCTAAATCCTAAATGAATATAAAACAAGCAGTTTTAGTTATATATCCTAAATTTGTTGAAGTATTTACTAAATGTAATTTTATAAATTGAAATATTTTAGTTGATCAGAAAAAAAGTTGAGGTGTCAAAAAACTTTTCTTTTTATGAAGTATAGAAACGAATGAAAGTGTGTATTGTGTCGTTTTCTCATAAGAGGCTGTTAAATTCTTATCAAAGATTAGTTTCTCTAATCTTAAATACTTATATTTTGAGAATGTTATTCATATTTCTAATAACTTTGAACACAATTTAAGTAGGAAGGATAGTAGGGTGCCTTTTCATAAAATTTGCACTGCCCATATTCAAACTCATTTAAAATTTTAATATCTAAACACAACATAAATCAGTTTAATATTACTCTTGAGATATTCATACTCAAGAATGTTTAGAATTTTAATACTCATATTCATTCTAAAGTCATTTAAAAAATACTCAAGTACCAATAAAACTACACTCTATTTATGCGTTTAGTACCTCATTAAGTCTATTTAACCCTCCTTGCATCCCCAATTGATTGGCACACTTTCTACTTCAGAAAGAAAAATTAGTTATCTTAGTTATAAATGTAAATTTGCATATATTTTTCCTATTATACCCTAACATTAATTGATATATATTACCTCCATTTTATAATACTTGTCACATTTGAAAAAATAGTTTATTTCAAAATATTTGTCACATTTGTGGTTTCAAGGATTAATAAATCTTTTTTTTTTTTTATGTTGACCCTTTGTATGTGACCAATAATTATTATTTGACCCTTTTGTATGACCAATAATTATTATAAAATTTAATGATTTTCTTAGAGAATTAAGAAGTAATTTATAGTCAATTTACCAAATAATTTATTATAATTTAGACAAATTTAATTATTATTTAAATTTAATGATTTTCTTAGAGAATTAAGAGTAATATAGTCAATTTACCAATAATTTATTATAATTTAGACAAATTTAATGATTTTCTTAAAAGACGTAAAATTTAAAATGTGATAAGTATTATAGAGTAGAGGTAATACTCATTAATCTATTATTGACTTTTTGCATCAACCAAGATTAATTAATTATCTAAAATTAGTTAACACGCATTGAAAATGACTAAATCTAGTAAATACATATATTTTCAATTTTCAAAGTAATTGTTAACAAATAATGGCAGTGAAAAATAAAAAGTAATCGATAAAAATAAAAAAGATATTATTAATAAACAACATTAAATATGGGTATAATAGAGATTTAATCGTGTTAACTAATTTATTAAAATGATAAATGAACATAATCTGGGACAAACGAAAAAGAAA